ACTTTGACCTTAACAGAAATGTAATGTTGAAATTGAAAGAGCTAAATGAAGTCACCATGAAAAAGTGAAATGAGTCGACTATGACATTGGTTCTGTGGAATTAATTCAATCTGAATCTTGTAGTACTAATAAGAATCAATGACCGCCTATGGTATGTTGGCAACAAAAGCTAGTGTAAAGGCCTACATACACGTCTGCATGGTGGGCTTGTCTAAAATTTCTAAAGTCATGGGCTAGGGGTACCTCATTGCCTCCTATTCGACACTACACGTTGAAGTATAACCTATTTCATTTCCCCAGAAAAAATGTCGTCTTGTTTTCTTATTTCTTTCATTTCTGCTTATTTTTTCATGCAAAACGGTGAGAAATCGGACATTTTTGTTCGGGCTGGGTGAAGCTGGAGTAAAACAATTTGTGCAGGAGATTTTCTTTCCTCTTTCGCCGTGTGCCATTGTCAATCTTCTATTAAGGACTTGCGTTTGGTTGTCTGCTTCGTGCTGCGCTTTTTCATGTCATTTTACCCATCTTGTCCCACTGGTCTACAGGGTCGTCCACAGACCCCTTCCTTTGTTTTGCTTGTACTGTACCGCATGCAGGCGTGCCGTAGCAACTGGCATGCACATGCAAGTGCTCAACACCATGTTCACACTTTTAAGTGTGTGACTGGATATTATTCGAATTGTAAGGGGCTCAGCAGTAAAGTTAAACATACAGAAATGTTCAACATCAGGGTTGTTCGAAATTTTTAAATAACCGGGTTAACACTTAAAAGTGTGGAACACACTGTGTTAAGCACTTGCATGTGCACGCCAGTTGCACAATTTGTTTTTAGATGCTGTTAAATTCATGTGTTTGCTTGCACCAAGAAAAATGATTTCCTTTTTCAAGTACTTTGTTACAAAAAGCGACCCAACATTTTTTCCCTTGATATCAAGACGATTTATACTTTGAAAGTAAGAACATTGTCTCAATCGAAAGGTAATATCACCGTGTGTCAAGAGTAAAATTGATCGCAGGTCAAAGTGTACTTGAAATAAGAACATTGGTCTGGGTGTGTCCGTTATCGCTCAAGCGCCAGAAATGTAGCGACACCGGAATTTTAGGTGATATCACATAGATATCGTTTTGATATCGCATGTCGTTTTTGTGCCCACTTTCGTGTCGCTAGTGACATGAAAAGCGACACAAATCGATATGCGATATCGACACGATATCGCCATTTCTGGCGGTCTGTCATTACCATTATCTTATACTTAGTTTCGCTAGCCGCTTTCATTTTGATCAAAATTCGTCGTTAAATATGCGGAAGAACATTGCCGCTTTTTTGCCGCCTGCCCAGAGCGGCCCATTTAGTTATGAAACTGGGCGTGTGTTCGAAGTCTCTGTAGGTTTTGTCGGTGATGTCCCCAAAAACGCGTCCAACCCGGTGAGCGAAAAAACGTCCGGCAGATGGTCCGGGCCCGGCTCGCGAATATGCTTCCGGACGGGTTTTAGCGTATATAAGCGAGGGGGTCCTCTGGACCCAGCATCAGTCTCATCTTCACTCTCATCATCATCCCATCCTCATCCTCACCAACATGAAGACACTGGTGAGTAGTCGTGCTCTCCCTTGCCGCCTCGAGCCTCCTGCTCTACTTGGCCCGATGCTCATCGACGCCGTCCTCTCTTTTGCCCGCAGGTAGTGCTGGTGGCTGCCCTGGCCACTGCCTCGGCCGGCAACATCGGGCACATCACGCAGGCCGCCTTCCCTGGGCGCGCCGTGACCGGCTTCCAGCCGTCCATCGGCTATTCGGCCGCGGCGTACGGCGGCTACAGCGGCTACGGCGGCTATAGCGGCTACGGCGGCGCTCAAGCCTACCAGCAGCACTACAGCGCGCCGGAAGCAGCTCCCTCACCACACATCCTGAGCGAGGAGCACCACACGACCACCACCAAGAAGATCGCTCACCCGGTCGGGCGCCCGTTCCAGGTGCCCGTCCAGAGGAACGTCCCATACCCAGTGCCCGTGCCACAGCCCTACAAGGTTGACCGCCCTTACCCCGTGCCGGTGCCCGTGCCCCAGCCCTACAAGGTTGACAGACCGGTGCCCACCCCCGTAGAGCGCAAGGTGCCCGTGCCGGCGCCCTACCCTGTGCCCTACCCTGTCCGCACCCCCGTGCCCGTACCCGTCAAGCAGCACTACCCGGTCCCCGTCGTGAGGCGCTACCCTGTGCCCGTGCCCGTTCCCGTGCCCCAGCCCGTGATTGCCCAGCAAGCTCAAGTCTACACTGCTGCCCCGGCCTACGCTGCTGCCCCGGCCTACGCTGCTGCCCCGGCCTACGCTGCTGCCCCGGCCTACGCTGCTGCCCCGGCCTACGCTCCAGCGCCAGCCTACGCTCCTGCTCCTGTCTACGCCCCTGCCCCAGCCTACGCACCAGCCCCAGCCTACGCACCAGCCCCAGCCTACGCACCAGCCCCAGTCTACGCTCCCGCCCCAGCCTACCCTCCCGCCCCAGCCTACGCTCCCGCCCCAGCTTATGCTCCTGCCCCAGCCTACGCCCCTGCCCCCGCGCCTGCTCAGCTCCCAATCGTTGAGGACCGAGGTGCCCCCCTGCTGGCTCCTGCCCCGGCCCCTGCCCCCCAGCAGTTCCAGCCCGCACCCAACCCTGCCCCCGAGTACCCGCAGCAGGAGTACCTGCCACCTCAGCAGGAGATCCGCCAGGAGGAGAACCGCGAAGAGTACCCACCCAACGCTCCTGCACCGGCTGAGCGCAACCAGGGCCAGTACTGAGCACCGCACTACCATGTCTTCGATGTTTTATTCACCATCATTTCATCATGAACGTTCTTATGTTTCTGTTAACCTTTACCATCTTCATTTCTCATCAACCCTTGAACGTTTTTGTTATTGTTGTTTTTAGATCGAGACTGAATCATAAAAAAAATATTGTTACAAGAAATAAAACTACTTTGGAACTACTATTTGCTCTGCGTTTTTTACCTATCTGAAATATTTCCTCTAATCGATAGCACTGGCCTGACGTCGCCATATCCTGGGTGACTCGTAAGGCACACGCTTAGCTATGCCATGCTCTGGCCACCAGGCCACACGGCCTTTCTTTCAGCGAAACCGGCCCAGCCTCGTTTTTACGTGACAGAAAAGCGACAGCCAACGAGCTGGCACCGGTCGAATCGGTTCGCGAAATATGTTGAATATCTTTCAAACGCACCCATTATCCGCAATATCGGATTTTATCTGGTTTTAGATAACCAAAAGCAGTCTTACATAGGCCTAGCACAGTTAAAACTGCAAATTGTCGAGCTAGCAAACAGCTATTGTTTAGAGTATTAGTTCTCACTCAAAACGGGTCATTCGCTTCATTGTGAAACCGGAAATAAAGATGTAACCAGAAATTTCGTTGCTTTCGCAGAAGTGATACGGTAAACGCCTTGCCAATGCCTGGTTTTGACACAAATTTGCACACGTTTTTTTTTTCTTTCGGTATCAGGATGCGGCTGACTGTACTTGTGTCTTTGGAAACATTAGTCCATTGGTCTACTAACGTGTCGTTTCTTACAAATTTCTGTGTAAACATTCTTAGTTTCTTACAAAGAGTGGTCATCATATTACGAAGAATTGGACAAAGTGTCAGGAACCACCATATTGCAAACGGATTTTCTTCGTAATACCAAAAGCATCAGTTTGTGAGCCGACGCGTGCTCTTCGCATTACAAAGCCTAGCCCTTCGTAACACAAAGGATTTGTTTGTATGACAAAGGTTCCAAATCCTTTGTTCGTTACGAAGAGAGTTCTTTGTAAGAAAATTACAGTGAAAATGTATGATTTCATACTCATAACCGCACGAAGTGGTTAATTGAACACTAGAAATTATCAAAGGAAAACCGTTTAATATTGGACAATAATATCAAAAAGAAATCTAATTGGTCTGAAGCGTATTTAGCGAAATGTTCTACTACCTAGAAATGAGCAAAGTGTCGGCCTCCCTGAAAACTTTGAAATTTCGGAAGTTGTCACTAACATATA